TCGCCACACCTCTGTATATATATATATATATAAAGAGAGAGAGAGATGGAGGAAGGGAGGGAGGAAGAGATCCTAACGTTTTCACACAAGGTGTCCCCCCCCCCCCCCCCAAAAAAAAAAAAAAAGAAAGAAGATAAATGAAGATTATTAATGACAAAAATCTAGTTCTATTATAGAACTAACACTTCATATTATGTGCCTATCCACAAATGATTGTCTCTAGCTCTCATCTCTAGTTTTTCTACATTATTATATAATATACATCTGTTTCTTGCTACATCTTTTTCTTGCAAATTACTTGTTCAAATGCATTGCACTAAACTGCATTGTGTGTTGGAGCTAGCCCCCTCCCCCCACCCACCCACCTCCCCACACCAGCCCACGACCTTTGCCCACTTCTGACGGAAGTTGTTGAGCCCTGGTACAATCTAAAGGCGTCGTGACCCCCGAGTTGCCGAGCCTCGATTTAAAAACAAGAGACTGTGAGAAGCAACATGATTAGAAAATGGACTTTAAACAACTGCACTAGACTACGGTGATAGGGTGGTATGCTGCAGAGATTACGGTTGGACCTTACTCGAACTTACAACACGACTGTTTGGGCGCTTGTAGCGTGACTAGGGGGTTGCGGGGGTACCGGCAGTGGGGTCTATTGATATCTTTTGTTGGGCTAGTCTCATGGACTTGGGGATCGGCAGGAGGGTGTGATCGTTAGGTTACTGATATTGGCAGTACTGATATGCCTAAAAATTCGTAATATTAAAGAGTTCTCCAATCGTTTGATACACATGACGCAAAAATTGAAGAGTTGTAACCAATTAAGCTAAGGTAAAAAAAAAATGCTTTGGGGAAGGCATTAAGAGCCCTCGCTGACGGCTCGCTGTCGCCATTTTCTAATATACATGCATATGTAGCTGAGAGGTAGGCCAATTAAAATGTTTCAATGTAAATCAGATACAGAGAGTTGAGGTATTGAGACGCTATCAATTTTATTTCAATATAGAAACCATGAAAAAGACCGAAGAAAAAAAAATTCGGGAAAAGATATAAATAGCACAAGTTATTGAAAGTATTGCACACATTCAAGTGCACATGGGATAACTCTGTATTTCAGATGTTACTCAGTGTGTGACAATCCTTTCAAGAAACATAGGGGGGATAACTCTGGAGTTAACATGTGATTCAAAATGTGAACAAGATACACAAATAGCAATAACAAAAATATTTTTCATAAAGAGCAATAACCATGTTGAATGATAAAGCGGGAAAGCAATAATCATGTTGCATGATAAATTTGGACAGCAATAATGATTATTTATCTAACGACGCCATGAAGTCCTCACACCTGGTAATGTTAAGGCATTAAAATTCAAAAGATAAAGATATACGTTTAAGACCAAACTATTTATTTTTCAAAGATTCATACCGAAATAAAAGAACAGCCGAGAATCTAATGCTTAATGTGTCTCGCATCAATGAGTGTGCGTAGCGAACTCCGTATAATGGGGTTTAGAAAATGGCTAAAGTTGAAAATTGATGAACAATCCAACTGGATTTTCAACAAAATGACAAACTTTTTCAAGCAGATATTTGTTTTAATGAAATCGAATAAGCCTGGTTATCAAAAGTGTCATTAATAAAGAGAAAGGAAGAAGGCCTAAATAAGACGAGGAAAACATTATTTGACATTGGATTTTCAAAGTTTCAATAAATGTTTAAAACACATAATTGAATTGTTTTTTTTTTCACTGATAATTTTAAGGGGAGCTATTATTATTGGTGGTATGTAGAAATAAAAGCAAAAGCCTATAGACATTTTTTTAGCGCAGTGGTTCCCGGCCTTTTGACTCGTGAAACAATTTTTATAATCAATTTCTATGAGAAAATGGGGGGGGGGAGAGAGAGGGGCTATGTCTTACAAATTTCAATGAAAATTGTTTTTATCTGGCACGGCTCCGCGTAGCACGGTGAGCTATCACTATTTATTGGTTCCTTCGCCCAACAATGAGCCCAGGCATTAACATTCGTCTTAAGGATGATAAGCATAGAAGTAAACGAACAACTTAAACATGCACCCACCCCCAAAATATATTTTTAAAAAATAAATAAAATTGGACCAATGTTTGGGCACCAGTGAAGTTGAATGACTTGAATGACCTGCTCCAATGGCATACACAGATTGCATGACTGGATCGTGTAACGGAAACCAGTCATCAAAAATACCCCCTCGCACCCCTTTGCACTAAATGTCAATGCGCCTGTTGTCACGTACTGTCACGTAGTTCATGAACTCTACCAAAATTGTTCAACTTTTGTTGGTGGTTTATTCCGTCATTTTCTATTTCCGGCTCTAGGAATTATTTGTTTAAAAAAATAATATAGCGGACTCTGCACCCGATGCTGATGTAAACTCCAGAAAGTTCGATTCCGACTCCACTAATGACGCAATCACTTTGACCTCCCGACACCAACTGAACATTCGTGTTTTGGTCCCTATTTCATTTTTCAATGGACATTTTCTTATAATTGTTAAGAATTACTTGTAGGCATATGTCTACGTCCTGAATTGTATGTGTGCATATGTCTACGTCCTGAATTGTATGTGTTCATGCTAAATTGTATGTGTTTATGCTGAAGTGCATGTTTTCTTGCTGAATTATATGTGCTCATACTGAATTGTATGCGCTCGTACTGAATTGTATGCATTCATAATAAATTGCATGCGTTCATACTGAATTGTGTGTGTTCATTCTGAAGTGTATGTGTGTGTTCATACTGAATGTGTGTAGCCTATTCAAATTCATGCTGCAAATCTCACAACGTACAAGTGAAAATCTTAAATACAAAGCTATTCACTAGAGACACCGCCCAACGCGCGATAGATATTAATATTACACCGTGTGTCAGTCTAAATCGTATATTTTAAAAAAGCAATGAAACAATTAATTATAGGAATCTATGTGTGAGTGTGTTTATATATTAGATTGACTGAGAGAGCGAGGACTTAACTTTTTTTTAAGATGATCAAAGTAGTGCAAATGAAACGAAAATTAAGTTTTACAATATTATTCAAAAGGTTTTTTTAAAAATTTAAAAAAGAAAAGAAAAGAATGGGAGGATATGAATATGGCCACATTACATCAACACCGATTAAAGTAAGTATTTTGATAAAAAGTTTGAGCTCTTCAATATGGTAAATATCGCGTTGTTCTCACTGCCGTACAGATAACGCAGGCCTAGTATTAGGTTATTATTGACGTCTTCACTAATGTTTTCGCCAAGTGCGTTTCAATCGATGTATCTGCATCGGTCCATGGTCAACTATAAGCAGACGGAAATCCTTATGTCAGTATATTCTTTTTTTGCCCAAACAACAGTGATAACGAGTCATGGCAGAAAAAAAACCACACGATGCATCTTACCTCCGTTGGTACAAATTTATTCCTAGCTCTGGTAGTGTTAATACAATGAATACGGCCAATAATTGCTGACGTAACAAACCTAATAATCATGGACATGGTCAAATCACGATCTTCCCCACCCAACAGCCCCCTCCAAACACCTCCCTCTTGTGACCCCGGTGATGTGAGGCATTGAGTGTTGTCCTTGTGACCTCGTGATGTGAGGCCTTGAGTGCTGTCCTTGTGACCTCGTGATGTGAGGCCTTGAGTGCTGTCCTTGTGACCCTCGTGATGTGAGGCCTTGAGTGCTGTCCTTGTGACCCCCGTGATGTGAGGCATTGAGTGCTGTCCTTGTGCCCTCGTGATGTGAGGCATTGAGTGCTTTCCTTGTGACCTCGTGATGTGAGGCCTGTGCTGTCCTTGTGACCCTCGTGATGTGAGGCCTTGAGTGCTGTCCTTGTGACCCTCGTGATGTGAGGCATTGAGTGCTGTCCTTGTGACCTCGTGATGTGAGGCATTGAGTGCTGTCCTTGTGACCTCGTGATGTGAGGCCTTGAGTGCTGTCCTTGTGACCCTCGTGATGTGAGGCCTTGAGTGCTGTCCTTGTGACCCTCGTGATGTGAGGCCTTGAGTGCTGCCCTTCTGACGCCAGGCATTAAGGGCTCCCTTGAGTTTGCTGCCTCTCCCTCATAAATAAGACATAATAATATTAAACAAACTTAGACAAATGGCGGATTCATGAGAGACACGGCGGCGACTGTCCCCTCTTCAAGATTTTAAAAAGTGATAGTACCGGCCAGTCAAGTGCCATTACATTTTTATCTACAGCATCAGATGTTAATAATTAATTGATTTACTTGAACCTACAAGCATATCATTTTCCTTTGGTTTGATATATATATATATATATATATAATATATATATATATATATATATATATATATATATATATATATTGATTATGTATACCGGGGGCGACGGAGTCAGTCAGAACTTTAAATGGGCGAAATTATCCCTAATTTTGGAGCTGGTTGATGCCCAAAATCGAAACTCTCCGTGATGGAAGAGTCTGAATGTAACGCTGGTCATAACATGGGGGCATGGGCCAACCTGAACCAAAAAAAAAAAGCTTCTGCTAACATTACCTGAATAGGTTAGAGATGAATAGGGGGTATTCTTTTTCCCAGGGTCCCCGATGCTGTTAAAAGACGGCCCTCCACCCACCTGTTCCTACGCTTACCGGTACTTATGTTTAATATGCATTAAGTCATTAAGTTAATATGGATCGTCTTTGACACACAGCACGTAGGCCTTCGCGCGGTCATTAACTTTTCCCTGTAGACAGTTTGGGTCCCATGCTTCCACCACGCTACTGTATTTTTGTAGCCCAAGGTATATTTTCAATGTAATTCTTTGCCGTATCTAGCTGGCCATGCGTGAACTTTGCGTGGTTCACAAATTATTGGCTCGACGAAAAAAGTTGGACTTTGAACCTTCACCTTGGCATAAAAATAGTCTAACCCCAATGCGTCTGCGCGGATTGGCTGCATAAATTTTAACAACGAATCGTTTATATTCGGAAACTCCCGTTCGTGACCGCCTCGTGAACAAGCCGTGAAGCTAAGTGTAAACACCTCTGTTGGAAGAACACAATAAGTGTGGACCGTAGGGAAGCAGCAGTTAAAGTTAACGTTATAACCTGTCAAAGTCTAACTACTCCATATTATTGTTCGATCATTCAACATCGTCGGATCGTTGTGTATTCAATAGAAAGTGAACCTTCTAATCCAAAAAGGTAATTTAATTTATGCATACTATATTTAAACAGTACTACAGTCACAGTTTCAGTTACTAAAACTAAACTTAAACTAATACTAATAGTTAAGTTTGGCCTTGCTTTATATACTTTATTTTATTTTTAGTATGATTATTAAAAATACACATAGTCATAGTCACATAGATGGCAGACGTAGGCATTGAAATACCGTACTGAGACTCAAATAGTAATAGGCTAAGTAATTATTAAATATGGTAGGCCAGGCCTTTAATGATGTAATAATCAGCCTGGGATGATTTTAATTTAGTTCAATTTATTATAATTATATATTCTATCTAACTTACCGGGTACGGTACTACGTCTACTGTCTATAACTATAAATAATAACTAACACAAGTAGCAGACGTTACATAGCCTAGCCCATGTCTAGTAAACTAGCATATATTATAGGGCCTAGTAGTAGAGTAGTTAGCCTGCAGTAGGGGCTTAGTAGGGCTTGTAATTGTAGGTGTAATTTACTGATACTGATTTGAAATATAGGATTGAATTTGGTACTCATACTAATTAATACTAATAAGTTTAAGCCATAATCCCCCTAACTAATCCTTATACTAATGATTAATGACACTAATGTCTAATACACTTATACCAATAATAGTAAAATAATAGGAATTATCTTTATTTAAGCTAAGTATTCCTATTGTCAATTAATTGTGGTCTAAAAAAAAATTAAGATTCATAGCATTTTTTTTATTTTTTATTTCAGTTATAATAGTATAAGTATGTTAGCTATTCTATTTTTTTATTTACTAGGTTATTTTTAGCTATTACTATCAAATGTTTTCTTACAAAAAAAGATTTTAATAATTAAATGCCAAAATGGACAATCTTGTAGGCCCATCTAATAAAGTGACTAGTCTATGCCAAGTTGTTTCCTCCATTTCTAATAATATTCATTTTAATTTTGAGACTATTGAGCCAATTATTGGCTAAGAATCTAAGAATGATGTATTGCAGACGATAATCTATCAACAAAATTTTTGTATAAAGTTTTGGACCTAGCCTACATACCATATATGGTTTTATTATTTAAAAAAAACATATTTTCTTTCCTTTTCAGATAAGTCACAGTGCAGGCATATTTCTTAGCTGAATAGCTATTTTAAATTAACCCTGGATGAAGATATTTTGTAGATAAGATGAACAGCATCATGAATTTCCCAGTCTCTATTTCTACCAAGCTGTCAGAGGAAGAGTCATCTGAGCTTTCCATAGCTACCCAAGACATTGCAAGTGATTCTGAACAAGATATAACGACACAATTTAATAGTGATTGTACAAGGAAACTTGTGCTTAGAAGACAGTTTTCAGAAGATGAAGGTCTTGAGATCAAATTTTGTGATGGAACTGAATTAGAGTTGGTACAAACTGTTCAAATATCTAGAAATAGAAGACTTAGAACTCCTTATGGAAGTTTAGTGAACTTGGTTTATGATGATAGTGGTTTCAATAGTTCTGACAATGAAGATACAGAGGAAGAAAATACTCCTTCAGTTGCCTTCCCTGCACCTGAAAGCTCAAGTCTTAGTATCCAATTAAATGATCAGTTAAATCCTGAGAGGGAAATAAACTCTAATAGTTCCTGTGATAAAGATGAATCTTCATTAGCTGTTTCTGCATCTATTAACACAAATGTTAGCATTCCACCAGAGAACCTGCTTAACAGCAGTGGTGACATAATTGTTGACCCGACGATATCAGCAGAAACTTCAGTAACTCAATATTCAGGTTTTTCTCAAGCAAGACAGAGGGTGGCAAGGCGACACCGAAGCATAGATTCAAATAATAATGACACTGCTGACACCAGTCTTCATTCATATCTTTTAAAGGCACCCTTCAAGCTGAATGAATGCTTTCACGATAAAGGGTTTTTCTGTCTAGTAACTTGTATCATGTACACTCTGTTTTTGGTCTTTGTGCTGGGCGCTGCTGGATTATTAACAGATTGTTTAAAATATGGTGAGTTCAGTTACGGTACCATAAATGTATCATTAGAATTAAGAATTCATGTAGTATAGTGTACCGGTAACTCAATTTCATAAAGTAATATTTTGTTTATATGGAGAGGTCTAACTAAAGTAAGCCTAAAATAATGTATTGCATAAGCTTCATTAAATGGTGGAAAGATAATCCTCCTGATAATACTGATATCAAGATGAAAAATTAATTTTTAAATTGTACTTTTTATTGCTCTTAATCTTATTTTTTTTTAAAATATCTTTTTTTTAATAATTTAAAAATTCAGTTGTCTTTCTTGAGGTTGATTTTATACTTTGAACATGCATTTCCTTCATTACTTCATTTTAATTTAATTTACTTTTCTCCTCTACTTTTAGCTTTAGACAAAGATGATGTGAAAGAAATGAGATCAAGTTTTTTAAGTGCTAGGCAACGGCGTACAGGGGCTAATTCTGGATAAGTTTGAACAACCAGTACTTTCACCTGCATGCACCCCCAAGGATAAGTGTACATCATGGTGTTCTAGCAATGTGGATCAAAAAACAAAATATACTTAAGTCATATTTTGCACTCTAGTTCAATTTACAGAACTATGAATCTTAAATGCAAATAGATCTATAGCTGCAAAGATGTATGATTTTGATGGCATGTGCAATGACAGAGTTTGATAAAAGTGATCTTAGTAAATAAATGTGATTGACAATCACAAGGCTAATTCTCTGCCTGTATTTAATTGATGATATTACAAATTGCTTAAACCCCATCAAAGTGGCATTTGTTATATTTTCATTCTAACCAATTTGAGCTTTTTAACTGTCATCATTGCATTAACATTATTAGGTACCGGTAGCTAATTAAAAGGTTTATTCCTAAATTTTTGTTTTAAATAATTCCAAAACACTGCTGAATTTTTTAAAAAGTATCTTTCACTGCAGTATTAGAATAGTATTATGAACACTAAGTGGTTGGCTATGTAATTGGACAACAGCTATTCTTGACTTTCTTTGTTCATGGTTAAGAATTAAATAATAGTGGTTTTGGGGGGGGGGGGTTGATTTGAAAGAATAATTAATGGCCAGTTTAATACTGCAGTATTAGAATAGTATTATGAACACTAAGTGGTTGGCTATGTAATTGGACAACAGCTATTCTTGACTTTCTTTGTTCATGGTTAAGAATTAAATAATAGTGGTTTTGGGGGGGGGGGGGTTGATTTGAAAGATATATTAATGGCCAGTTTAAATACATATATTTCTTGTTTTACATATTACAGGCGATGGAATGTTTTTGTATTATTGTTTATACTGTTTTATGTAATATATTATTTGAAACTGCTGTGCAGTTGTTTATTATGTATTTAAGACAAGCAAAATACTTTTTGACATACACTCATGTATGGTAAATAAAATTGTTTTCCATGAATTTCTTTTTATGTTGACTGTTTAATTTTAAGCTAAAATTAAAAATGAATCATCAAAAGAAATTATATTTCTGTAAAATATTTTATTAAGAATAAGAAGTTGGTATCCACAATAAATAAAAGATAGAATAAAAAATCTTTGAAAGTAACTGCTTTGTTCCAAGTGAAATATTTTAAATGTCAAAAGGTCATGACTAATTTGAAATGCCTGTACTGTTTTCTGAGGATAAAATATTGTGGAAAGAACACCCCCAAAAAGAATAAAATCTGGTCAAATATCTGAACAGATAATAAATGGGAAGTAAAATGTAAATATTCTTTGCTCGTATTTGTAAACATGGTCATATAGTCAATGGAATGTCACTGCACTTCTTGAATTCTCTTTAAAAAAATTTAAGAATGCCACAGCAACTATAAATTCAATGAACTACAGTGCCTAAATTTTAACTACTATTATAATGACCGATAAAAATTGTTCAATTTCGATCAGAAGGTTTGAGGGAAAAACCCATAATATTACTTATAGAACTGAACAGCAAATTAAATAATCTCTCAGTCAATTCGTGATCTTATGCAAGTAAGAAGTAAGCATTCACAAATTTTGCCCAGAAATAAGCCTTTTTTACGACGAAGAATTTTAAGTAACCCCCCCCCCCGTGAGAGTTAAAGTGACTTGTCATTCCTAATTCAAGTGACGATTTTCTATTGTGATAATGCGAAATGAAACAGCATAATAAATCATCCGTGTCTAATAAAAAGGTAGACACAAAAATTCCCAGTTATTTGATCACCAATAAGTGAACATGCTTGGAATTCCACAACATAACTGACTTGATAGTCAGTGTCATTTATGCTTTGTTTCATCCTTGACAAAATGTTCACTTTTTAAGAAATTGAGAACATCATTAAAAGTAAATAAATTTAAAATTAATAAATTAAAAATCACATATGGCTATGGCACGAAGTTTTGAAAAGGATCTGAAAATATTAGAATCTAACTTAGATTATTTGATTTACAAAGCAAGTAACAGATGGGCAACCTTTCACAGAAGCTGGCATGCTCCTTATTTAGGGTACAGGCTATTTCTTCTTGTGGCACGTGAAAATTTAATTACTGAGCAATCATTTCCCTTTCTTCTGCTTTAAGATCAATTTGTTCTACTGTCATCAAATTAGAAGAAAACCATTTTAATAACGGTAACAGACTTAACTTAAGTTCAATCGGAATGTATCTGTGAAAAACAGAATAGCAAATACACAGTATTCAATCTAATTTTGCAAGAAAACTTCATTAACGATTAAAGGTAGCAGCTTAATAACAGACGTAGCAAATAAAATTTCACCAAAATAAAACATATACAAATATAAAAAAACTATTCAAATGATGTTATTCCTTAGTGATGTTATCTAAAATAACACTGCAACATTTCATGCCAAAGTCAGAAAATTATCATTGGATATGGGCTTTTACAAAATGAATGGAAATTTATCTAGTCTTTAAAGATGAATCCCATAATTGTCATTCATAATAATGAGATAAATCTTTGTAGTAAAAAAAAACTTTGATCAGTTAAATGCCAAGATGAATCTATATTTAATGAAACATTACCATTTCATGATTTTGTGATGGCCAATCATAGACTGGTGGAATATATGATTCATAATCAGTGTTGTATACAAATTCTGAAAGAAAATCCTTAACATTATCAGGTCTAGGGTAGCGAAAAGCCAAATCATTATCATAAGCAAAGTTGATAATGTCCTCCGCTAGTCTTAAAGACACATTTCGAATGTCACCCAGTTTTGGATAGACTCTCCCTTCTTCAAGATTATCTTTTGTTACCATCTTGGCTAGAGTCTGAAAAAAAAAGATAATAAAAAATTGGTAAATTTGGTTACAGCAATACTTATAGTTTATAGCTATAATATTTAAACTATTGAAATTTTGATGCTAGTGTTATTTATGCATTTAGACAATAAATGAATCAAATGAATGATGAAATTCTTATATTTTAAGCTAAAGCTTACTTCTGCTGCTGTTAGGAATATATCCTCTGAGATATTACGAATATCTGCTGCAATGACAGCGAGGGCTGTACCAGGGAATATATAGGCATTGTTGCCTTGTCCAGGATGGTAGATCTTTCCTTTATGTTCCACTGCATTAAATGGACTGCCACTTGCAAATACAACTCTGCCCTGTTCATGATATGGTCAGAGCTGTTATCATTTTTTCACTTTCATAAAGAATAAGGTCCAGAAGATTTTAAGTCACATCAATGAATAAAGATATAGTGAAGCATCGATAGTATGCGATAACTGTAGTCTGTATAAATGGATTGCATTCATATTGAGTAAAAATAGAAAGAAAATAGAAAGAAAGTTTTTTTTTTTTTTCATAAATATTATTTTCTGGTAATATTTTCTTTTGTTTTTCTGAAATGGTGAATAAATATGCGGTGTAAAAGCTGTTGGAACATTAGAATACTAGACTAATATATAACCGAGGAGAAAATGCTACGACAAAGAGAATTTGGTGGTTCCACATCAAAAACGTCAACTTAATAGGGTTGGCGAGGTAACCAACATCGAGATTAGTGGGTTTGACTGTATAGTATAACATAAAATATTAATAAAGCATACAAAAAACTTTGTTTTTCTGGGTTATTTAATTTCTGACTACTTTGATAAATTGATGTCAGTTGATTATACAAAACTTTGAATATGAACCAACCATGATTTGTACAGTCTATATCAGGATCCCATGATAGTAGCAGAAATAATAAAGGTTAGGCTGCGCTGGGCATGACACTTTGAGAGTATGCCAAATGACAGAGGAGTGAAGAGGGTGCATCACCAAAACCCCAGAGGAAAATGGCTGAAAGGCAGACTGTTACGCACTGACTTGTATTGGGAGAAATTAATCTCCTATTTTAATTTTAATTGGTTCCTTGTAAACAGTGCCTAACAAAGGACGATACCATAGAGTCAACAATATTAAAGATACGACACCCAAAGCAGTTTCTAGTTACAATTAATAAGATTTATTAAGTCTTAATATAATTACAAAAGAAAATAAAATATAATGACAATCTTCCACTTACAGTATGGTAGATCTTGTACCGGTACACAGTTAATACAGTTAGAATAATGTGCCAATGAATAATGATGAAGTGCGAAATAAGCACATATAAGTATGAGCACACAAATACACAAGGAATAATACACGCCTCGTAAAGTTAATAATATCTATCTGAATCTCCGACTTTCCGCCCGTGCCTGTCAATCCCTTATGTAGGTAACGTAAGCCCTGCCTTCCAGAAAAACTAATGACGTTTCTAGAACAATCACAATCATTCTACAAAATACTATATGGAACAGATTAATTATTGTTAGTGGCTGGCGGCATAAACACGACAGATCAAACAACTAAGCCACACCCCTCTGTGAACACAGCGTCTCATGCGGGGTCAATCATAGGGCACGCACAAGAAAAATTATGTAAACAAGCTCTATATAACACAGACCTAGGCTTAGATTTAGATGGATGGATGATGTGGTAAAAGATCTGCAACAGCGGGGAATCCAAGCATGGAAAAGAAAAGCATTAGTTAGGTCTGAGTGGAAAGATGGATGGATACAAAACTTTGGGAGCCCTGCCATGAGTGTTATATAAAGATTCCTTTTATAGTGGGGTTTCGCTGTAATATACTTTGTGCACAACACTAAAAAAGTGAGTAGAGTGAGGTGCCAAGTACGAAGTCACCCTTGAACCAATTTTTCGTAGGGGAAGTTGCCATTGATATTCCATCCATAAGATAAAAAGTAATAATTTCAAATATTTCTAAGGTTTAAATGTTCCTTTTATTTAAGAATGGTTAGTCAGATAGAGAGGAAATAGATCCCAATGACTTAATCATCTTGAATAATTATAGGGATATTTTTTAAGTTTAGTTTTCAACAACATAAGACATTGGACGTGTAGTGATCAGAGGATATTTTAAGATAGGGAGGGTACAGAACCCATTTACACATGATTGGTGGGTTCATTGCATAAATTGTAAGTTATATATGTTGCATTCAAATAATATTTTAATGTACGGTACTAAGACTAAAATTTCACTACTCACATCAGTAGCCCTATAGGCGTCTTCTGCAGTGCATTCTGCCTTGCTGGTTGGATTGCTCAAAGCAAATACAACAGGCCTGTTATTAAATTTGGCCATGTCCGTTAGAACTTTTTCATTAAATGCACCAGGAATAGCAGCAGCACCTTACATGGAGACAGAGAGTATGTTGTGTTAGATGTATTTATTTCATGATTTATGCTACGTTTTTTTTAAAAAAATACATGAAATGACATAAGGCTTTTAAAAAAAGATTTCATTTAAAAAAAAAAAATTCTTAATTTCTGATATATTCCAGCAGTTTTAGCTTTTAAAAAAAATTTAAATCCCATGTTAATATGGTCACTGATATCTGATTTCAGTGGTTTACCTTCTCCTTTAGAATAGCTGATTCACTGGGCTGACCAGTTCTTCCACCTGCCTATTTCATCATAGCTGAGGATATCATCCACAGATGCATTCAAACCGATTTGTCAAGACACAGACCAAACTACCATTGTACCATAGGGCTGACAGACACTTTTTTAAATCTTGCATCCTGATTATTTTTTAGCCCCTGCACTACAATATACTAATCTGAAGTTGCATCCCTTGTTTAATCTTCACTATATCTAGTTTAGTTTATTTTTTAACAAAGTAAAACAACAGACAAGAACTGTAGACTTTGCTAAAATGTTAAAGAGAACAGATTTACAATAATAAAAGTAAATTTTTCTGTAACAGAAAGTGCAGACATGCAAGATATTTGATAGCATATGCACCACTGAGGTGGAAGAGGTTGTTGATGATAAATATTTTCCATATGATTTAAGTTTTTAAAATTAATTAAAAATGGTTTTCACAAAAAAATATTTGATAGAACTTATCATGATTATTCTGGAAAGCATACCAATGATAACTGTTGGCTTGACATTTGCAACAATATCCTCCAAATTATCAAGGGGCTGATGATCCTTGGCAAACA